AGACAAGCATTTTACCCTACTGCTATAAAATGTAGTAGAGTTAACATTAGATGTCAATTAACCAAGATAATAATGAACAATTTTCAATCAATACATCAAAATCAATAGACCGACATTACTAGATGGAGGTAGTCTATGCTCTAGAAAGTTACTTTTCAGCCTCTTAACAAAATGAGAACACACACACACCCACCCACACACACACACACATACACACACACACACGATACTGACCTGTGGCGTACACAGACAGCAAGAGTGCCGTAGCAGATTCCATTTCACCTCAGTAATCAGTTTTCTCAGCGTATTTCAGGTTGCTACTAGTTACCAGACACTCAACTTGTTTGTTGGTGCTGGGGCTTAAAGAAAAGGCACTAGCGCTACCCAGTGTATGAGCGTCTTTTTCCCTTGAGGAGCTCCGCTCTCGAAGCCTATGAGAAATGCATAGACTGGGGGAAAATAGCCCCGCCTTCCCGCAGGCTGCAGCGGGATCGATGTACTTGGAAAATTGTACCATAAAACCACATAGCGTTAATCTCACGTTAAAAAAATTATCGCCATTAAAATGGCCTCGCGTTAACGCGATAATTTTGACAGCACTAATTTTAAGTTTTTCAGTTTTTAAACTTTTAATTTTGACCTTATTTTATGCCCTTACTTTTTTTTTCTGTAATAATTTAATAGTTTTTTATTTTTAGCTATGAGTTATTAACTTCCTGTAAAAATTGAGAGAGTTTTGTTTCTTTAAAAGCACCATTGAAATAAAAATTCATTATTATAACTTAGTATAGTGTAAGTTTAATATGTAATACAGTGTAAATATGTTTAGTATCAGGTTTAAACACTGCCTTTTTTGACTTCTTATTTTAACCCATTTCTTTTTGAAGCTGAGAGTTTCTTTGAACTCTCCTTTTAACCATCCATCATTTTAAACAGTTTTCTTCTCTTTTTTCTTTTTCCATTTTTTTGTTGTCTTTTTTTTTTTTTTTTCAAAATCTGTAAATTTCTTACCTTACCTTCTTTTTAGCCTCTCTCTTCTCATGATATTCGTTTATCTTATCTTCAACATTTTTTCTATTTCAACATTAAATCAAAAATTTCTTCTTGAGGAGTTGACAATTCTCTAGAAACTTGCCTTTTGTTCTACCATAGAACTGCAAAACCTTTCCCATTATCTACAGGTAATTTACCAGTTTCCAATATGCACACCATTCCTCTGGTGCCGACCTGGATAACTGGGGGGGATCCCACTCCAGATTACCGACGTCTCAGTAAAATTAAATGCCTTCTGGTGGCACCTACCTTCCTCTCCCCCTTAGAGAGAGCCTCACGTTCCTATGTGAGGTCTTTTGGTTCACAGGTGGAAAAAAACCCTGAATTGCCTTTCGTGTCCCCAAAACAAAAATTATCTGTTATTCCATATGTATAATCTTTAGTATTATACTAATTTTAGTGCATTAAAATGATTAACCTATTAATCTTTAATTTAGTTAGTTTCTTGCTAGATTAAAATATTAATGGAGAAGAAGAGGACTTTGTTTGAGCTAATTTTCCAGTATTTGATTTCTAGTAATCTTTAAATCTGTTAACAATCTGTTGTTTTATAATTTAGTTTTTGAAATTTAATTTAAACTGTGCCGACAAAAGATCATCTCACCGTCTCAAAAAAATGGTTCGTTTTGATCCTCCTGCTGACCTCCAGGTTCGTCCCCCCCTAGTTACAACAATGGAAAAGCAGTCAGAGTCATAACAAATTACACACACTTTGCTTAACAGTAACATGTTATGAATAAACCTTGAGAAAGAATCTGGATTGTTATGGGAAGAAGCTATGAATGTTATGCTATGAATGCTAGAAATGTACAGCTCTTGAAGTTCTTTTCAATAATAGGATGTCACAGAGAAAAAAATAACTTTTAGAGTCTAAACATACCTTATCCATAATGAGACTATGACAGATAGTATTAACATTTTATAAATAAAATTAAGTCAATGTTGTCGCAAATATCACATTTTAATACATATTTTTTGTTTGTATTTTAAACATTTGTGATAAAGTAATAGTTTTTGTTTAATCCAGTGGTGGATCCTTCTACCTCCACCACAAAGTGTTATTCCACCCCTATTTAAAGCAGCCTTTGTTTTATTTCACTAGGTCAGTTTTTGTTTGAGTTCATGTTAAGTTATATTTATTATTTAAGCGATTTTTATTGCCTCTGAACCTTTGTTAGTTATTTTTGACATTATGAAATAAAAAAATGTTTCATTTTGTTTTGTTTTTTTTAACACCTTTTGTCCTTATTCAAGTTTGGTCCCTCACACCGTTACAGGCCTGTCTGAGCTCTAGAGCTGACTGTGTGTATTATGTCTCTTTTATATTTTATCATTTAAACTCAGTTTGATAGAAAAACAGAATCAGACTAAACTCTTTCTGCTGCTCTTCATTTCCCCCATCCTGCTTTAACAGAGCTGTTGTTGTTAGTTTCTGCTCATGGAAATCCATCAGTGTTATATTTAACCTTTTGGCTTTCTAGCCCACATGCTGTGTGTAAAACACACATTTCAGTATTTAAATAGCAAAACAATAAGATTTAATTTCTTAGTTATGGACTGTTAGGCTTTAAAGTAAACACCAAAAATGAATCATCTTACAATTCTCTTCATTTTAATCATTTAGTCACAATTTTTCAGAAACACAGCCATTCCATTTTAAAATGATTAAGTAAAATAAAATAAAATAAAAAAATGCATAAAAAACACACACAGATATCAATCTTTAGATTTTGAAGGTTTAACCTGATAGAACTCATCATGGTTTATAGGTCCACACATGTCTGTAACCCCTCCAACATAAATACAGAGCATTAGAGCTTAGGGCCCCAAAACAGCTAGAAGCAGCCCTGCAGGATTATCTGAACAACACAGTCAGTGTCACAATCCACAATTTGACATTCTAGTTTTAATTTATCAATTTATTCAATAAAATCCTATTAAATATAGAAAAAAAAACATCCTTAAATATCAATAAAATGATTGGAGATTTAAGTAGCTTTAAAATAAAAGAAACTTTTTCTTATTTAAGACTTAGAATAGAATAGAATATTACTTCATTAGTTTTAAAAATAATTAAATATATTAGTAAATAGAAGAAAATATATCACATTTTATTGTGTTAATAAGTTCAAGATATGTGATAGAGGCCTTGGAAACTTCAAAAATAGCAAAAGTAAAAACTACTTGTAAATAAATAATCTAGTTCTGAGATGCAGAAATGAGATTTGGTAGCTTCTGAAAAAGAAGGAATACATCCTAAAGAAGTGAAGAAATTATCATACGAATAACAAGAACTTTATCAGATAATATAATGAGCTCTGGGGCTTTGAACAGAGGAAATTAAACTCCTCTAGATCTTTTTTTTTTCCTCCAACTATGTCCTCCTCCTGTCTCCATGGCTCCAGACATGTCACAGTCATCCACTGGTTCCCCTGAGGCCCAGTTCTTATACCTGACCACCTCATCACTGACCCAGAACCAGAAATCCAGAGTACAGGTGTAGCGCAGTCCCATCCAGACATAATCAGTCGAGGCGTTCTTGGCTTTCTCCTGGATCCATCTCTGCTCATCCAGGCTGGTGATGGTGACCAGATCATGGTAGTGATCACTGCAGTTGTAAAAGGCATCCTCCCAGGTTTTATTTTCTTTGATCAGGATCACTTTATCTGAAAGAAAGAAATAATGAGCAGATAATCTCATCACTGTATTTGTTAAATGCATAAACTCTATTTAAAACAAAATAAATATCTCTAGTTTTTGGTTATATTATCTTGACTTTATATTTCCTGTACCATCTGGATAAAACACACTATATCACCTTATAACCCAGGCTGCCACAGATTATTCAGACTTGTCAAAATATTCAGCAGCATGAGGACCACAGCTCACACACACCATGTTTTCTACACATGTTCCACTGTTACTCAGCTACCAGCAATGATCTAAAAATGGCTTTAAACACTGAGAGCAACCTGTCTGTGTCCACAGAGGAGAATTAGCTTAGTACTTCATGGAAGATTAATTATTTTAGATAATAACTATCTGGTCACTTTAATAAACTTTCAGAACATTAAAATTTCATTCCACGATGGTCAGTTGATCCCTGGTTATGAAAAAAGGGGATGAAAGGCAAAAATAGTTTCACATTCAGCAAAATAAAGTTCCCTGTAATGATGAATCAGAAGGCTGTGAATTCAATACTATTCATTTAAATACATGAACTCTATAGATCAGGGGTCTTCAACGTTTTCCAGGAAAGGACCCCCAAACTGATGGCTAGATGGAGCGGGGACCCCCTAATTATATATGGTATGAAATTGTGTTATATCAAACTGGTCCTATAGTCACTCTATTAAAGATGGAGTCATGTAACGGGATTATTAAAGTATTTCTGATCCTGATTCCTGGTTGAGACAGGTGTTGTGAATGAAACAGTGTCCAGCTTGAAAGAGCTCCTGCGTGTCTCTGAATGTGTGCATTGATGAATGAAAGACATCTTCTGCCTCCATATATCTGTTTACAACAGTGTGTTGAATTTATGTTAATGTGTATTTAAAAACATTTCAATTGGTGGAAAAAATTGCAGGGAGAATATAAAAAAAAAGTCTAATCAGCCAAAACTTGGGATCCCCATGCAGTACCTCCATGGCCCCCATAGGGGCAGCGGAACCCCTGTTAAAGACCTCAGCTCTAGATGGAAACAGCAGACAATCATTTGACCCCAAATCTCCTTAATTTTGTCATATTTAAACAGAAACATTTTTTAAAGATTTTCCAGCAATAAGCAGAAATATTAACAGTAAGATGGCAGCTGAACACTCAGTGTGTTTGAAGGAGATTTATTTTGCTTTCAAAGAAGCATAAAATATTCTTTTAAGCTGTTAAAATGGAAAGACCGACCTCAATCATTTAAAGTTTTTTAGAATTGTCAGAGATCTCACCATCATAACAGATGAAGGGTTTATTATCCGCACAGTCCTCATTCTTCCATCTGCCTCCATCATCAAACACAGTCATGGCACATTGACCACTGTTGCCACTGTTGTATTCCTCATCATTAAACTTAAGGTTCCAGTGTCTGAAAGAAAAGCTGCTTCCATCTGACCACTTCCAGGTGTCTCTGAACAGACCAATAAATACATTTTCATGTTTAACTACAGGTAGACCATCCTGTAGCTGCTTCATTCCACTGATCAGGTCTGTGTGTTTCTCTGCAGTAACTCTGAGCCTCCAGCCAGGTCTTATGTTCTTTAATCAGGTAGAATTTCTCTGATGTTTTACTTTCTGTGAAATAATAAATATATCAGAGTGCAAAACTCTTTAAACTGCACAGCAAATTTTAAATTATAATAGTTAGACAAGTTTTCTATGTCAGCAGAGAGATAATAAAATTTCATAATTTGAAATAAAATCTATGTTCAATATAACCCTAAAGATATTTCTTTAAGTGAAACTATATATATTTTTTTATAGCTTATAGGTTATTTCTGTAAATACATTTTGAAAAGTCAGTAAAGAAGCTTTTCATACGCACCATCATAGCAGAGAAAAAATGACCGTTGATTACAAGATATGTCATTCCATTTAGAAGATTTATTTTGTACTGTACGAACACAGTTCTCCTGTATCATGATCATTTGGTTCTCTTTCTTTCCAGTTTGTCTCACTTTCATTGAACTCCACTCCAAGCAGAGACCAGTACCATGTTCTGACACCATCTCTCTGATCATACAGACCAATCCAAGCTTCATTCTTGTTTCCTGCTGAGTTACTGAGGAGTCTCTTCATGTCTGCCATGTTAGACACTGTGGCCAGGTCAGTGTGTTTCTCTCTGCTGTACTGCTGAGCTTCAGTCCAGGTCTTTTCCTCATTAATGTAGAGATACTCATAGAGGTGACAGACCATCAAACTGGGCTGAGCTTAAAAAAACAACAAATACATAGAAATGTAATTACCATCTATAATGGCCTGTGATTTTGGCTAAAATGATCAACTGCAGAATTAATCTAAAGTTTCTTACCGAACAAAGTAACCAGAAATAGCTCCCACTGCATTGTTCCTCATATGTGGATTCTTAAATCAGTATTTTTGGAGTAAAATGTTTTTCTCTGTTGGAATAATGATAGTTTTTACATTTTTGTGTAAACACATAAAAACATATATTGAAGCCTAATCCCCTCTCGTTGTTAAAAGTAAAAAAAAAAAAAGCAAACACGTAAATATGATCTGAAAACAGTAGAATACATCAAAATAAAGATTAATAATCCCAAGATAAAAATGTAAGAAAATACCAGACGTCTATCTCGAAAAAGCAGAAACTTACTTCTGGGTTTATTTTCTCCCTCAGATTTTGAAGCAGTTTTATCTCAATGTTCCGCTGAAGAAACTTCTCAGGAAATGTTTACTCCTCTTTCAAACACATCTGTTTTATGCCTCAGGAACTGCATCTGAATATTTAATAAGAAAAACAAATTCTCTTTGGATGTGTACTTTATTTGCATTAGTAACCTGGTTGAAATGGCACATTGTGTGAAGAGAAACCGAAACACCAATGGAGGCTATTTTATTTTGGTTTATTCTACCAATATCTACTAATATTATTACTCTGTATAATTATTTACTCTGATTCAACGTCTGTCATAGAGGTGGATCAATATGTCAACAGGGAAAGCATTCGTCCATTCTCTGTTTCTGATCGAGGCTAAATCTAGTCTGGGGGAGGGGGTGGACCAATGAGGGTCTACAGCAGTCAGCTGAATCCTGGACAGGTCAGCTGTTCATCACAGGACCAACACAGAGTCAAAGACTAAAGGTTATTCAGAATGAGCAGCTCACCTTATTCCCTCACCCCACTGTTGATATCTGTCCTTCAATAGCATATGATGAAACAAAAGCTTTATTATTTTCTCCTTGAGTGGTTTAATTTTCTACTTGTGGCCATTTTCCATCCAGAGCCTCGCCTTTGCTTCTATGATAGAGGAAGATTCTTCTATCCCATGGGATGGTGGTCCTTCCTCTGCAGCTGATCACTGACTGACCACTCAGCACAGCTGGAGAAGAAGTGACCACAGCTGCTTTCTGCTGCCAAATCCTCTACAATAGCTGTTACTGAAAAGTGTATTTTTACTGTTCAGAACCAACTTGTTTAACATTTGCTCTATTCCTAATAAAACCCTCACTCTCAATGAGTTCTTCATGGGAAAAAGCTTAAATTTCATATTCATTTTGGGATTATAGCAAAAGTAGAGAAATGAGCTGCTGAATCTGTTCTGAATTAACAGCTGTTTTCTAACTCTCTACAGAAAAACCTGCAGACGGTTATAATATTTAAATATAAAATGCTGCTTTAAACTACTATTATAAAACACGTGAACTCCCTTAGAAGAACAAGACTGATGTTCAAGGGTGCAGAGGTACGATTTAAATTAAAAAACAGACATTTATGGCTCCAGTAGTTCCTCTCAATGGTATCTGGATGTTACCTGAGAAAGAAATGACTGTCAGAGTTTAGAAAGATGCGTTATTGATAATATGATGTAAGTATATTTGCATATATTAAATTCTGACTGACATAATGGTTGTTTTAAACTATGTGATTAGGTAATAATATAGATTTATATTTTATTATGTAAATAAAGTTATTATCTAATTATAGTTTGATTTAAAAAAAAAAGAATAAAATCTTTCTGCTGCTATTCATTTCCTCCTACCTGCTAAAACACAGAAGTTGTTTGTATTTCTGCTCATGGAAATCAGTGTTATATTTAACCTTTTTAGTTCATAGCCTACATGCCATAACGCAGATATCAGCATTTGAATAGCAAAACATTAAAGATGAATTTAACAGGAATCAGCTGTTAAGCGCAAGTCTTGATGACACAATATTGATATAATGCAATTTTGCATTAAAATCATGCCGGGGCACATACAGTATAGTGGTTATGATGAATCAAAGAGTTTATTTTGAACACTAATATTCTACGTTTAGTAGCTGCACAGCAGCACTCTGATCTATAGCTAGATAAACCCATCTCTGTGTGGTGACATCAGAGAGAGAATAGTTTTGGAGCTAGCTCAGTATTCTGTAATGGAGATGGATGGAAACATTGATGGCCGTTCCAGAACATCTAGGCTAGACTCGGTTTGTTAGTTGGACCATCAGCCAGTTTAAGCTCAGGAGAGGGTAGTGAGGCTGAGGAATATGGAGGCATCAAACCTTAAGGATCAGAAGCACACATAGCTAATCTCTATCCTACAGAGTCAGACTCTGTGCCAGAGGGTAAGGGCTAATATAACCGCAGAAGCGGTGGTAGAAAACACAATGTGGGTTTTCTCCACCACTGTTAAAGGAAATGATCTAATATTATCTTAAAGCAATAGCTAGAAACTCCACCCATCCTTCACTGTCAGGGTTGTCAGATCTGCCTGTTTCCAGCCCAAAAACTACATGAAACCCCACCCACTAAATAAAGATAATGACATACATTTTTCTGAATATCATGTCAAAACCATGAATCCATGAACAGGCTTTTAGCTAGGAATATTTGATAGGGTGTACACTAGGGTGACCAGACGTCCCCGATTTCCGGGGACTGTCCCCGTTTTGGACCACCTGTCCCCGGCTAAAGCTGTCCCCGGAAATGTCCCCGATTTTACCGAGGCGAAAAATGTTGCGTGTAGACTGTTATTACGGTAGAGCTGTTGCGCGCAAAAATAGGTATTACGGTAGCTGGTTGCGCTGCTGATAACATAAAGATAAGGAACAGAGCGCACCACTAGAAGGGAGGTAAATTATCCTTTTGGATGTCAGCTGCCATTAAAACACAAAAAAGAAGAAGAGCGCATCACTTTTAAAACAGAAGAAGAAGAAGAAGTGGAAGTTCGTTTTTTACAACCTGTGGCAACTAATGGGGAGCTACGCTGAGTGATGGTAAGTGTGTTAATCAATTAATTTTATTCTGATCGGGCTGATCTTGTGATAAATGTTTGGTTTGTGTCCAGGTTAAAACAATAATAAAAAGTAAGACAAGACCACGAGTTGAGCATGAGTAAAAGACGCTGGGTTAAAATGTAGCAAAATGATTGAAAACTCCTTGTAAGGCGCTAATCTGGTACGCTGGTTCTCCAGGGATCAACAAGGGTTTGTATAAGGATGTTTTAGAATGGATAGGTGACCTTTAGTTTATATTTCAGATAGTTATTATAAGTAGAGTTATTTCTATTTGTTTTGATGATTTATGGTTGTGATTTATGAGCATAGACTTCCAGTTTTTGGTGTGCTTTTTTACTGCTCAGTTTGGATATATATGAAAGTTCCTTGAGAAAAAATAGGAGTCAGTAACAGGAGAACTGAATAAGACAAGATCTACATGATCTGAGAATGATGGAGGAAGAGATAACCACCTGTTTAATGTTCATTTATTATGTGGTTTTTGCTTGTAGCTCCTAATATTGTGGTAATTAGCATTTTTAGTATTTAGATGAGATATTAATAATAATAAGTTTTCATGTTGCACATCCTAATTTTTTTTGGAGGTGATTTTGATTATATAATGTCTCTGTTTTAGAATAATGTAAGATTGATGCTGGAGGAGTGAGGAAAAAGATAGAAAGACAGAAAGGAGATTGAATGAGAGAGGAGGAAACTAGGAACTCTGATAGAAAAAACGGTTGACAAGAAGGGAGAAAAATTTACTTTGAGGAGTAAAGCAGAGAGCAGGCAGAAGTCAGAAGAGGGCTAGAAACAAAAGCGAAGGTGGAGAGGGAAGAAAACAGACAAGACTGAATGACCAGATGGCTCTTTCAAAGAAGAGGAAGTGTCATTTTACGGAGAAATTACAATCAGAATTTCCATTGGGAAATTATATATGTATATGTTATTGCTGTTTATAAATATGGACTATTCTTGGATTATATACATTGTGTTGATGTTAAGCCTATTCTGCTGTTCAATGGTTAAACTTGTTTAAGATATTTAAAAAGGTTATTTTGCTTTTTTACTTGCTATGTCTTCTCTTATATTATTTTACCCAAATTACCAGGGCCACTGCCTCAGACCCTGTTCAGTTAATATTTCTGTTTCAAACATTTAAAATGTATAATATGTATTAATAAAGTTCAAGTGATAAAGCGTTGACATGATTTGAGTGATAAATTAACATATTGAGTGATGTACTGTGCAAAGTATGCTGTGGAACACAGAGTGGCTGTATACTCAGGTTAGTAGGAAAAATGAACCTGCTACTTTGAGACACACAGGCCCCTGATGTGGCTAGGTGACAGTAAGAAACATATATGAACCTTTACCTGCAGGCTTGACTACTACTTGTTTTTTTATGTTAATGAAGAAAAAAAATATTTCTTATAGGTATGTACAGTAGATGTAAACAGAATAAGTATTTGTTGCACTTTTTTGAAGAGGTGGGGGAACTCTGTCTCAACAGACAGTCACAGGCATAGAATAAATGTTTGTATTTACTTTTCTAAATTTCTTTTCCGCATGTCACTCTCCCATTAGGAGGCCCGACAAAATTGGAAAGCCCTGCTAATGACCCTTGACCCCTCCGCTCCCACCCCCACCACTTTGCCCCAACCCAGAGATACAGTTCTAGTTTTCTACTAATAACACTATTCATGTTATTAATCTTAGGATACACTAAACGTTTGGAAAGGCACATTCCTGGCTTTTACACTTGATTTTTGTTGTTTAAATATTAATAAATATGTAAAAATATATGAAACCATTACTGTCCCCGTTTCCTAATTTCATCTCGATAAGATGTATTGATTTTTATCCACGAGCAAGAAATGTCCCCAGATTTGATTTTAGAAATCTGGTCACCTTAGTGTACACCCTGGTGGATGAGATATTTAGGTTTTGCTCACTGAGACACTTTTCCCTGCATTTTCAGGTGGAATGTAGCTATTGTTTTTTTTTTTTCTTTTTTACAACACTACATTTTTCCTGATTATGGGAAGTTTGTGTTCTTGACTAGACTTAGACAAATTTTATTGTCGTTTTGCAAACACAGAGTGTATACAAAATAACATTTTGTTTAGTACAGCTTTACAGACAG